TGGAATACATTACTGGCATTTTTCATTTAAAGGCAACTATGAAGGGAAGAAATAATTAAATTATCAATCAGCTTAAAATGTATTCCTGAGTGAAATGAGCAGAAAGTGATGCCCTAATTTATTAATTATAATCGAGAAAATGCTATGAAATGATTATTAGGCTCCTTTTTCATCAGAAACATACAATGGTGTGATAGAGCAATACTTTGCTAAGAACTGCATGTCAAACTCCAAGCCATCCCCACTAACTACTTGATATAGAAGGGATTGCCTTTAAACAACTGTAGGTCTGATAAACAGTATTCTGGAACCAAAGTGATTAAAAATACCATTACAGCAGTTTAGGAAAGGTTCCTGATGATTTCAAAAGCTGCTAAAAGATAATCAGAGCTGCCAGCAGCCAATAATCTTCTAACTGAAACCATTTTAAGCTGTGAATATTTTTATCTGGTTTCTATCATGCCATTCCTCCATGTAGTTCAGAATGCTATACACAGAGTTATTATAGATAATATAACTATATATATTATAGTTATTTCTTCACACCTATTCAGTGAGCTAGCTGCATGGTAAAGCCTGTCATAAGGTCAGCCAATGAAGTAAATGGATAAGCCTAACACTTTAGGTCCATTCATGTTCCTTCATCCAGTTTACCACACTGGTAGTAAACCACTAGTGGAGATGATCATGTTTTTGTCATTTACTATTTGGTGATATTTCCTCCCAAATTGCTAGAAAGCACCATTATCTAAAGTTGAAATTTGCTTAAGAAAACAGTATCTTTACTACTCTGAAATGAAGGTGTTTCTATTACAGAGCTTAGAATTATTATCCATATCTTCATTGCCATATTAATATTCTGTGTTTTTCCTATATGTAAACATAACTAGAGAAAAAGAAATGTTAACTGGCCCATTTTTCCCACACCTCCAAACTGTTCAAATGTTTCTTTATTTGAACAGGGGTAAGCAACTTTTGGCAGTACCCAGTGAGACATAAGCAGAAATGCAAATTATTTTGCACTAGCTCAAGGGGCCCTGTGTGAAATACAAGCAGTCCCTAAGTTATGAACATTTGAGTTACGAACAAACTGCCATAAAGCCTACTAATTTGTTAAAACTACCGTGGAAAATTGCCATTACCATAGAGAGAGAAGAAGTCAAAGAGGAGAGAGAGGCCTCCAAAGCAGGCCTTCCTGCCCTACCCATTTGGACAGGGAAATCTCCCCAGCATTTCCTTGTTGCAAAGAGGAGGTATTAGTGAATTGGGGTGCATGGGTGAGGCTTGGGATATTAGTGGTTTTTCACTTTCATGGGTGGGTCCTGTGCCCCAAAGCCCACATATGTGAAGGGCCAACTATACATAACCCAACTTACATGCAAATCCGTTTTAAAGATGAATTTCTGTTTTCTCAGGAATGGAACTTGTTTGCCTGTAGCATTCACTGACATGAGTTTTTCAGGGAATCCCATTATGTCACCTGCTACTGGTCACCTACTAGAAGTCCCTTACATTAGCTGTATAGTTTATGTGAGTGCTCCCGTTGCACTGCATACTGTCCCTGGTGCCCTCTGGATGCTTTAGAGTACAACTACCATAATCTCTGAGTGTTGGCCATGCTGGTTGCAGATTGAGAGTTGATGTCCAAAATAACTGGAGGATAACAGGTTGTCTATCCCAGAGTTAGAAATACCCTCTACAGGTTTAGTGTCAGAAACAGGAATAAAGAAGTAATTTTAGAAATACAGGGTAAACCTTTTGGAACATATACATACATACATATGTGAGTTCAGTGTGTTCAGTTTTATATCCTTTACAAGCAAATCCTTTGCATACAGGCAGTCCCCAAGTTATGAAGGTGTTTCCCTTTCCAGATGGCTAAGGCAGGAAGCATGCTTTGGAGGCCCTCCTTCTCTGTCTTCAGCTTCAGCTCTCTCTATAGTAATGATGGTTTCCTGTACTTTTTTAATTAATATGCTTTATGGAATTTTGTAAGTACAGATTCACAATTGAGGTATTTGTAACTTGGAGACTGTATTTCCAGTTTTATTCAATAAAGGTATTCTGGTGTTGTTCCTTAGACAGTAACAAACTATCTATTGGGGGGATTTTATTATTAAAAGCTCCTTTGACTGCAGTTTGTCTTGGAAGGAAAATGCAGTATACATCAAATGAATAAATAAATGCAAAAAAGTGCCTGGAAATAGGGTTTTATTTGGCAACTATTTGGTTGCTGTTCACATCAGAGTTTTTAAAATCATCTCCCTGTCTACTGCATTATGTTTCTAAGGTTGTAGAAGATATTTTAATAAATAAGCTCACTGATGGTAAGTTAATGGAATAACTGCATTGAAGCAACCAGGAAAGGACACAAGCTTTAGCTTGTTAAACAAAAGATAACAGATAGATGTAAAAATGGAACAAAAATGTTTCTGTACAAATGTGTGAGCAAGAGTGTGTCAGAGAGAATAGAGTTATGGACTGTGACTACTGTTTATGTTTACACATATTTGAATATATAGTTTCAATAAAATAGGCATCAGATGTTTGAGTGCATGGTGGCCTTTTTATTTAACAGGGCTACTGACAATCCAAAGTGCTGTTATTAGAATAGTTGGTATGCCACAATGAAATGTTAACTAAAATAAAAACAAAATCAGAGATCATGTTACTAATATCAAACAATCTAGTGTCTACAGCAGGTTTCTGCTTCCCAGAGCTCTATTCTCAGTGCTATGGACCATTCCTATCTGCAGTCTCCCTCTTTTCTCAGTCCTCATTCCCTTTACTGAACTGCTGAAAAGCTGTGCTCAGTTTTCATCCAGTGCTCCATCTAATCTGTACACTACTAAATACAGGGTTGGATCACTGACTTTTTTTTTGATAGACCTAATTCACTTCCTTGAAATCATAATATTCTGTGGAGCACAAGAGCTAATTCACTCAACACTTTAAGGTCAAAGAAGCAGAAGACCCAGTTAGCAGGAACCATTAGCTCACCTTTCAACTTCAAAGAAAAAAATGCTTGCTAAGCACTCATTTGCACACCAAAGAGCCAAGCCATGACCAGCCAGTGTTTGCAGCTTTACTTTCAGCATATGAAATGACCTAATTCAAGTTGAGATGCCTCGGTGTCAAGAAGTATGCACAGACCAGTTCCTAGAACTATTAACAGGAGGGTAAATAGTAGAAACCAATGTGTTGGTGCATCTTTAGCTCATCAATGTAGTGTGTGTGTGTATGCACACGCGCGCATTGTTCTTGTTATGTGAACAATCCCAGGCTAAATGTTCCATTTTAGCACATGCAACTACTATTATTTCCTGCTGAATATGTTGATTCTAGGAGTATGTTGATTCTAATAGGAAGCAGGAAAAAGTAATTTGCTGAGTTGACCAATCCCCTTTGCTCCCATGACATATCTCAACCTTTACTTGCTGAAATCACATCCTTTGCATATGGGTGGGGTGGATCATAGCCTCTGTTAATTTACTACAATTCTATGTCATGTAGGCCACAGCCTCAGTACCAGAACTGGAGTAATCCTACTATCTTGATTGCTACTAATGCTCAAGAATACATCATTTAGAGACAAGCACCACAGTTCCAATTCTATTGCCCATACTATATCTTAGAGTTAATAAAATGCTTTCATTATATATGTTTCCCTTCAAATGATAGGTTTTGATATTATACATCTGCTGTATCATTATATAATCCTAAATTTAACAACAATATGATAGTATAATTAATAGAAAGGAGCAAAATGAATATTTATCAGCTGATATAAAATATCTATTGCTGTACATTACCAGTCAATTAAGCAGGATCAGGGTGGTTTTATTCAAGCTTTCTATAAAGAATAGCATTTAGCAAAAAGATATGCTCTTGCCACTGTTAGAAATTCACACAGTTTAAAGGCTGAATTATTTAACCAGTCTTAAAAATGGAAAGGCATCCAATTGCACTTTATGAAGTAATTATGCAAACTACTCTTACGGAAAAATCCTACTTTGCAAATAGAGGGGAACCAGGAGAGAGAATCATAGCTTTTAACATTTGTGGCATACTTTGTGCATGCGCAACTTGAGAACTAAGGGCACCTGGGAATAAGACTTAATACTGATACAAGTCTACTTAGAAGTAAGCCCCATGGTGTTCAATGGGATTCCTTATATGCATAAATCTGTGGCCTTATTATAAAAACCTTATCATAAATCATAAAACCCATTTCAGTTTGTCACTTTAATTTTTAGGATCAGGTTTAAACAACAATGCGAAAACATGATGTATTATTAAGTGTTACTTTTTGTACACATATTTTTGCCACTCTGCTTAAAAGACCCACCACCACCACCAAGAGGAATGTTTGCTTTAAAATACAGTATTCCTTTACACAGAAAAGAAAGACACCAATTAGAATATAAGCCAATATAAATGGCTGCAAAACATTACTATTTACAGCAACAATACATATCACAACCAGTGTTTGGAAGTGGTTTAAAGTATTGCTGTATATGGCTTATTACCTAAAGCTATACTTCTTCTGTTCTTAAATGATAAAGCTGCAGAATGCAAACAAAATGATCTTAGAAGTTAGTTTTGCATGAAAGAAAGAAATCTTTGAATAGTATTAGCATTAATATGCAATCAGAAATGTGCCACTTTATGAAGCAACAATCTATATGCAGAGATTATGAACTTTTCTATGCGCTTGAAAAGGTTGTTGTGATTGATGGATGCGTAGGCATGTTGTTTTCAGTCTCATTCCCTGCAACTGGCACACTGTAAAATGTAATATTATAAAACTGCACTGATTAGAGTAGTGGAAATAAAAGCAAGATTTATTGCCTCCAGGTTAATTAAACGGTAAGCTGTTTGGCAAAAAGGTATTAACAACAGATTTTACACCCCAAACAGCAAATGTGCCTATACAGCCTCTTTCAGCAGACCAGATACTCTCTACCTACAAAGAGCACAAACCAGAGCAACCACTTTACCTTCTGAAAAATCAATCAGTCCGAGCAAATGGAGCAGCTTCAGAGACGCAAATATAATCACCACAATACCCACTGTTTGCAGTCCCTCCGACTCCCACTCCAAAGTCAACATTCTTCGAGCAAACCAATCATTCCAGACAAGCTGTCAAGCCACTGTGCAATCAGAAGGAAAGTTGAGAGGATTTCAGCGGTGTTTTTCTTCACACTCGGAAAAGTTGCCAGCTAAGTGGGATGGGCTGAGGAAACTAACTGCCCGCTCAGGTGGAACCAAAGTGTTAACTGAAGCCCCTCATCTCATGTATCCCAACGTCGGTTTTAGATTTGAGCAATTCCTCTCAGGAGCGTGCACGAATCCCTCGATATGGCACTCTTTCCAGCAAGTGCTCTCGCTTCTGAGCTGCTAGGAGGGCATTCGTTTCAGAAGTCACTTCACCGAGCCCGTCTAGAAAAGGCAAGTCTCTCAGGAAAGTTGCACTCGAGAGCTCAACCAGCGTGGCTTGATCAAGTGCCTTGCAGACGCGTGCTTTACAGTTCAGCCCCAGCTAACAGGAACACAGCTTTGGAGCTTGTCCAATGCCAGATTAATCATCGTTATCAGTTTGCAGCCTTTTCATTTATGATCTGTTAGAATACGTTGGCTGCTGGAGTTTCGTATGTGCTAGCTGTAGGTGTAACTAAAGTCGTTTACCAGGATTCAGACTGGTAGTTGCCTAGATGACTTCTTCCTGGCCTTTTCCCACATTACACAGTGGCGCAGGTAAATTCACCAGCATGACCAAGGTAGTTTCTGTTCCCAGATCATTCCAGAAATAAGACTGGAAACAATCTAAATAAAATTGTATTTATGCAAGAAAATCTGAAGCTGACTTGTGCCAAGTCCTCTGGCACCTTGCCAAATACATAAAAATAAAAGAATTAGCAGGAAAGTTATCAAATCAGAGGGAGAAATAAGGTCCCTGCCCCCCCCCCCCATACAACTTCCTGTCAGAAAGTCACCCTCTCTTGCAGAGGCAGCAAGCACTTCTGTAGTCAGGGTCAGCTCCAAATTGAGGAAACCCTGACTGACAGTAATCAGTATAGCCCTTTTGGTACTGACCATTGCATATTACCCCCTTGGCCTGTAACTGTACCTCTGCTCTCTTTGGCCCCTACTTTTGGCCCTTTAAAAGATATCCTGCCCAACATGACAAAGCCTCTATTGTAAAAGGGGGGATACAAACTTCAAGCCAGATAGCAACATGATTTGACACACATGGCATTGCTTCACTTAACCTCAGAGGAACCCTGAGAGGTAGCCCAAGGCAAGCAATAGTGACATGGCAAGAGGGGAAGAGGAAACATTGTATTTATTTTGGCTGATGCTGCTCAGGTGTCCTGATTAAGATTAATAATAAAAATACTTTTGAGGGTGAGAATTGTTTCTTCTACCTGTAAAAGAACAACCACTAACAAAACTAGCACAGAGTGATTTATTATTTCACCCATTATCTGAGTGAAGATAGAAAGTGAAGAACCACAAAGATTTATAACCCTGTATAAATTTATTTTGGAATATCTGTCACACTTGGATTTACTACTAGTGCAGCTTGTAGCTGTTTTAAGAGGGCACAGCATGGCTGGATTCATAGACAATTTCCCCTGGCATCAGCAGCAACCTCAGTAAAAACATCAGTATGCCAACCTGTAACACAGGCCCACCTGCAACTCAAACCCCAAGCCCTGTTTTAGCTGACTTTACAAGTTAAGGTGGACAATGATCAAACAAAGATATATGATGGGTTTCAGATCTCCAAGAGCCTTGTCCATATCCACAGGTGAACAGATTGAAAAGTAACTACAGAAAAATGGCTGAACAAAATACAACTACCATCCAACAGCATTTCAGAAATAATGATCCTATTTAAAACAGCCCAGATAACAGCAATTTTAACCTGCAAATTGCTCACAGTGGGTTTCTGAAAGTACTAATCCATTCTCCACTTAGCCCAGAGGTAACAAGCCTCTAACCAGTCAAAAAAGCTCCACTGGGTGACTCCAAGGAAGCACAATAGTGGTGTGAAAAAGGGTTAAGCCCTAAAATAGACTGTTAACCAGGATTAACTGGATTGGGCCTAAATTGCCCACCCTTTTGGGCTCGAGCTGATATTCCACTTGCTCCACTCCCAGTTCCTCAGTTAATTAACAGTTTAATTCTAGGGGAATAATTTGATTCTGTGAGCACCTGTGTCAACAGCACAGGCTTTCTTGATACCCCCAACGATCTACCAGATCTTAGCAGCCAGGAAAATCTCCCAAAGCATGAGAAAATTGCCTGAATCTATAAGCCTCCAGGGTAGCTAAACTAATAGATTCTCCAGCCCTGTATAGGTCAGGCAACATCCCTAGCCTAAACCTAACCAGGTGGAAATCAGGATGGGAACCATACCTAGTACTATTCAACTGCAGATCATCCTCTTTCTGCCCAGAACAGAAAACAAGAATGTGAGATGACATCTGTTGAACCTAATCAATCCTAATGCAATGAATCTGTGATTTCACCTGGCAAGGTGGCTGTTCTGTAGATGTTTTTATTTGAAATATTTTTATCCCTCCTTTGGATTTGAATTCTCAAGGTGGGTCTAAAACATAAGAGAACATGCTAAGGATTCACTCCAATGCTGCATCCCCTTCCTGCACATAGGCCTGCAGACTTGCATGGGATGAGGCAGCCTATGCAAGGAATGAGACGTGGTGATGCCCACCACCACTGGACCTCATCCCATATATTTTATCTACATGACTATTTTGGCCATCTAAAGTGCCAGGGAATGAGAAGAAAGAGACTGGGCAATGATAGGAATTGGCATAAGTCTTCAGCCTAAGCCTCGCTCCTTCCCAACCCTCTATTTAGCAGTCCTTTTTGCCCTCTCTGAGGCCAAGTTATGAGGCCACCACCGTTCTTTCAGCACCAGGTGCAAGGACAGCAAGGTGGTGGCTTAGTCCAGCTGTGAGATCTTGGACCTGGGACGCCAGATAAACCTATGATCCCTAGATGATATTGGGAGGCCATAGGATTGTACCCTAAATAGATTAGAAGTACAAGTGGCTAACATAAGCCCAAGTGCCTCCAAAAACTTGCCTAAACCATCCACATCAGCTCAGGCAGGGAGAGTGTTAGGTGATGGGGTGAGTTTTCACCAACAGAATCCGAATCCTGTCGTAACACAGCACAGTGCCTAAAAAAGGAATAGAAATACCAATAGATCAGGGCTGTTCCCTGCTCCCATGCCAGGGCTGCACTGAGAAACTAGGTGAGCAAAGCTCTGGCGATTTACTGCTCTACCTCCTCTCAGCAAGGACACAGTGATACGGCATTCTCATCCAGGATTAAATCCTTTTGCTAATCAACAACCTCACATTCAGCAGCATTATCTCAAAACTGGAGAGATTAATGTTAGCATTGCTACCTGGGTTCCAAAGCGGAAGGAAACACTGGAAGAGATAGCACGTGTATGTAAAACAAATACCTACACCGAAAATAGGCAACATGACATCAGTGGCATAAATGTGCCCCCAGCTATTTTCCTCTGCAGCCGTTGAGGCATTCCCCTCTTCCCACTTTCTATTTGAAAAAAAAAGTTTTGAACATTTCTTGAGAGCTGTCAGGATCATTTCAAAGTGATGATTGAGCTTTTTACTATACAGCTATCAAGGATGCTATAGTAATGGATTAGCAAGAGGTTGGCTTTTGTGATTCTATGAAGTAGCCTGACAGTAAAGCATTCAGGGTTCCTAAAACACATCATGGTTACTTTTTAAAACATTCTCATGAAATGTTTTTTTAAAATTCATATAAAATCTGCATTCATGTGAATGCACATGAAGACCTCTTCGTGAGTGGGATGTAGCTGCACAAATGTAAGGGAGGTAAGAGCAAACTGCACCACTGAGTTTTGGAAAGCTGTATTTGAGGTCCTTAGATCCTTGGGCTGTATCTGAAATATCAATTCTTAAACATAAAATTTAATAGGAAAATTATTATATGAAGAGGATATTTGGGAAACAAGGTCTGCTTACACTTCTCTCATTTCATCCAGTCCCACCATTTATATGGTTATTCATTCTTTTCCTGGTCTAAAATTCACAAAGCAGTAACAGATTATTTCAATATGCATTAATCGCAAGAGTAACAGAAATGGGGATGTGCATAAGATGTTTTGAGTTTCATGTTTGTGTTCAGTTCCATGAATAATATCACCTGTGGTTATTTTTATATCAGTCAATTATGTCAACAGTATTGAAGAAATATCTGAATACATTATCAGTTTGCAGATGTTAAAGTTCATGTCCCATTTCCATATGTGTGTCTGCACACACATGCATGTATTCACAAATGTCAAGATTAAAGTAAATCAAGGAGTTCAAAGTCATTGGAGAAGCCCAATAGCCTTTGTGACTAAATTGAATGGTCTTCTTAAAATGCTAAGTCACTTCACAAGAATCTTTATAGGCAGTCTACATACAATGGGACAGCTTTGTCAGTTCTTAAGTTCAATCTGTGACATCTCATTTAGCAGGCCAGAGAGAGACCAACTGCCCTTAGAGAGTTATTGTTAGCCAAAAATTTAGAATACTAACTTGATGGACTGTTCAAGCATAGTATAATATACCTTCTTAAATTTTAATTTATTCCATTGTTCTCCCACACAGAGAAAGCAAGAAAACATGTAACAGCTTGGAGAACCCAGTTATCACTGGATATGTTGGCGACATACAGGTATGTGAGGGGATGTCACATGGAGATGGGTAGAGACCTGTTCTCCCCTACAGAGGAAGGCAGGACGCGCTCCAATGGAGCCAAGCTCAGGGAGCCAAGGTTCCATTTGGATGCCAGGAAGCACTTCCTGACAGTCAGGACCCCGAGGGTATGGAATGGGCTTCCACGAGAGGTCGTTGAGGCCCCATTGGTGAGGGTGTTCAAAGATAGGCTGGACATGCACATGGTGGGCATGTCGCAAGTGGAACCGGCTGGTGCCGGAGGTCAGACTAGATGGCCCGGAAGACCCCTTCTGACTCGCTCTGTTTCTATGTTTCTATGTTCCTATGTTCCTATCACTCTCTTGATCAAGCTGC